TTGGCGGGTGCTGTACCGAAAGCGTTTGCTACAGGGGTGACGGACCCTATATCGCGCTAGAATTTGGCTCTACACTGACGTCTCCCAACGGAAATTATACATTTACGATGCAGCAAGAAGGAAACTTGGTGCTTGACTGCAATGGAAACACGATTTGGTCCTCTGGAACCGACGGTGCAACCGTATCAAAAGGTCTTGCCTTCCAAGCTGATAGCAACCTCGTCATATACAGCACAGAAAGTGGAGCACTCTGGGGCTCGGGAACTGCCAACACCGAAGGCACCAAGTTGCATGTGCAGGATAGCGGTAACGTCGTTCTCTACAGTGAAAACCTAACAGACGTCTGGAATACGGGGACTAATGGCAAATGTTACGAAATTGATGGTGGATGGAGTGACTATGGAGACTGGTCTGACTGCTCAGTATCTTGTGGAGATGGAGCGAAGACAAGAATCAGATCCTGTACTAACCCCGTCCCAGCTAATAACGGATCTGACTGTGTGGGAGAAGCAACGGAATCTCAAGCTTGTTCTGTTGGCGGGTGCTGTACCGAAAGCGTTTGCTACAGGGGTGACGGACCCTATATCGCGCTAAAATTTGGCTCTACACTGACGTCTCCCAACGGAAATTATACATTTACGATGCAGCAAGAAGGAAACTTGGTGCTTGACTGCAATGGAAACACGATTTGGTCCTCTGGAACTGACGGTGCAACCGTATCAAAAGGTCTTGCCTTCCAAGCTGATAGCAACCTCGTCATATACAGCACAGAAAGTGGAGCACTCTGGGGCTCGGGAACTGCCAACACCGAAGGCACCAAGTTGCAAGTGCAGGATAGCGGTAACGTCGTTCTCTACAGTGACAACCTAACAGACGTCTGGAATACGGGGACTAATGGCAGATGTTACGAAATTGATGGTGGATGGAGTGACTATGGAGACTGGTCTGACTGCTCAGTATCTTGTGGAGATGGAACGAAGACAAGAATCAGATCCTGTACTAACCCCGCCCCAGCTAATAACGGATCTGACTGTGTGGGAGAAGCAACGGAATCTCAAGCTTGTAACGCGCACCAATTCAACATCGGGGACCACCCTACTAGTGCCGAAAGTGTTACAGGGGAGTGCTACAGGGAAGACGCATCTTTTATTGCATTGGAACTCGGATCTCGCATGATGTCCCCTAATGGAAATTATGCTTTTGAGATGCAGCCAGATGGAAACTTGGTGCTTTATTGCAATGGAAATCCGCTTTGGTACTCCAGATCTCATGTTGCAACCGTGAAAGATGGTCTTATTTTCCAAGCTAATAATAATCTCATCATATACAGCACAGAAGGTGATTCACTCTGGGGTTCGGAAACTGGTGGGACCGGAGGCACCAAGTTACAAGTAGAGGATATCGGTAACGTCGTTCTTTACACTGACGAATCTGTTGCGGTCTGGAGTACAGGGACTGGTGGCAGATGTGACCCGATTGATGGTGGATGGAGTGACTATGGAGACTGGTCTGACTGCTCAGTATCTTGTGGAGATGGGACGCAGACAAGAACTAGATCCTGCACTAACCCCACCCCAGCTGATAATGGAGCTGACTGCGAGGGAGAGGAAACGGAATCTCAAGCTTGTAATTTTGACAGTTGCTGTACCGACCATGTTTGCTATAGGGGTGACTCAACCTACAAGGCACTGGCACTGGGCACTAAACTGACGTCTCCAGATGGAAGTCATGCCTTCAAGATGCAAACAGATGGAAACTTGGTGCTTTACTGCAATGGAAATGCTCTTTGGTCCTCCAAAACGGCTGGTGTACTTCAAAACCAAGGTCGCGGTCTCAAGTTCCAAGCTGATAGCAACCTCGTCATACGGAACAGTTTGGGGAACGCACTTTGGGGTTCCGGTAGTCAAACCACCGAAGGTACTATGTTGAAAGTGCAAAATGACGGCGACGTCGTTCTTTACACTGACGGAGGTGCAGCGGTCTGGAGTACAGGGACTGCTGGAGAATGCTAGAACTTGACAATTCATCGAACCGTTTTTCAATAGAATAAGAGTTATTTCACATTTTAATCAATTAATGGTAATACAGTATAGTGTATAATATCACTTTTAAAGTTAATAATCGTGTTTCCTTTTGTTACAATTCCAAATTCATAGTTAAAATTAAATGTAATGCCAACATGGAACGTGTTCAAAATCATTTCCAAAGCAATTCATGACAGAATAAAAATGTTTATTAACTGTTTGATGAATCATATTTATAACTTACTACATATAATTATATTGATAGGTTTATAGTAAATCGATGAAGTCATAATTAAGGTTAATACGTGAAAAATAATTTCGGGAAAATAATGATGGTGACCTAAATTTTGGTAGTCCGAAAATATGGTGTTTTTTTCGAAAAACCAGACTTTCGTACCATTTAAATGTATGTCTCGTAAGGTATTTGTTAAGATTAATAATGCCTGAACGAAAAATATGTCTGAGACTGGCCGCTAGGCCTAAAGCTGCCAAGGTGCACGGCCACAAAAATCAGGTATAGCGACGTAACGTCGCTATAATGTCGTAACCGTCACCAAAATTAGGTCTCACGCAGGATGAGGAATTAGTTATATCACATCGTGACCCCCACAGTCGTTTCACCCCTGTAGAGTTTCAACGATACAGGCGGGTCATACAACGTATGACAAGGAATTAGGTCTCAAGCAGGCGCGGCTTTTCATGTATTTATATAATACAATTATATCACGTGCCTGCGTATATATTTCTTCGTTCGACCTAGTTACATCTTGATTCTTGGTGACAGTTACAAACAAGTATGCCTAAACCTACAAGTTCAGTTCAGTTTGTGCACGACTGCACTATTGATAATAAAAATCATGGAGAAGCGAGCCAGCAAGTTTTGTAATTCCTAATTATATGTAACTAGAAAGCCCGTGGTAACAGGGACGAAGCTAGTAGTATTCTTTGAAAGAAAGTTTTAATCGCATCAAAAAATATCCAGCTCAACCGAAGATACAGCCGATTTAAATATAAAACACTTTAAACACAACATAATTACCACAAAACCGATCAAAATGACGTTAAAACATTAACAATCTTTGCACGTGCATGTGTGCATTAAAACACCGTTGCTATTATATGGAACCTTTTGGTTGTTACCTAAATTCCTATTTTTCATATAATTTGCACGTGGGCGGTCGTACAGACATACAGACAGAAACAATTCTTTGAATTATAGTAGAGACTAGAAAACCCGTGGTCACAGGGAGGAAACTAATAGTATTTTTTGTTAATCATAATGAGTTTAAATCGCGTCAAAATATCCTACACAACCGAAGATACAGCCGATTAAAATGTTGCTCGCACTAAATACAACGTAATATCAACAAAACCGATAAAAATGCCGTTTTAATAATCTTTGCACGTGCACGTGCGTGTAACGAAACCGTTACCATGGTTACTTTTCAACCTTTTGCTTTTTGCCGAATTTGCACGTGGGCGGTCGTACAGACATACAGACAGAAACAATTCTTTGAATTATAGTAGAGATGTTTGTTATTGTTGTAATACTGTCAATTAGACAATATCACAAACCGGCCAGTACAGTTCCTAGACTGACGTAAAATTCTTCCCCTCTATAATTTCTTTTGTTTCAGCTGTTATTTCAACATGTTTTCCCCTAATCCTATCCAGAGTGCAGAGATTTGGACTGTCTGTTGTCTCCACAGTCCACCCCCTTGTAGTTGTAATTGTATTAGTTAAGGACGCTTTTATACAGAACTAAACAGACTTCTTCATTCTTCACACTTAACGGGTGATACTCGTCAGGGAACCATTTTAACATGTTGGTTTTAACTGCCAGGGGCCCTTTCACTTGAAGTCCAGATTTTAGAAAAACCTCAAAGTTCACGTTTGATTGAAGTGATTAAGCACACTAGCATATTAAATTTTATAATTTATGATTGCTGATGATGTTGACTTCAATGATGAAGAGGAGACAACTTGAGAGCTATTTTGCCCCAGGCAACAGCTATACTCGAGAAATGGAACCTCTTTGTCAATGAAGACAAAACGGACTTCACTCATGTTTATTTAGCTAGTACGGGTGAAGTCGACAGTGATGGAAAATTAGTGTCGAGGAATGAAGCATGGAGGAAAAGTATCACTCTAGGGTCCGTCTTGTGTAGCAAAGCTGATATTCAGCGTCGCATAAACCTGGGATATGCTGCCTTTAACAATTACAAGAAGGCCTGGAGTGATAAACTGCCCCTAAACAAACGTCTAATACTGTATAATGCTTTAGTCGTATCGGTTCTTATGTACAACTCATCCTGTTGGGCCGTCCCCAAGATATTCCTTGAAAAACTAGATGTTGTTCACCGCAGACATCTTCGCACTATTTTGAATATAAAGTACCCAGGAGTCATCTCCAACAAAAACTTGTATAAACGCTGCAATGCTGAACCATTGTCAGAAAAAGTGGCCCGTAGTCGGTGGAGATTGTTAGGACATGTTTTGCGGGGTCCTATTGACGGACCAGCGTTTTCTTCCCTCATTTTTGCCATCAATACACTGGACTTACCAGGGAGAAGAGGAAGACCCCAAAGCAATCTATTCTCGCTGATTGTGCATGATTTATGTAAAAGAAATCTTTATTTGAATAATATCTTTGACCTGCATTATCTCCGTAATTTGAGTTATGACAAGAGATATTGGCGGAAATTGCAATGAAGTTTTTAATTTTTAGTTTTTGTTTTAGGGAAAGATTAGACTAGGGCGTTGTTTTTTAACTATCCCTTGTTTAGAACTTTGATTTAATAATTTATGATTATTTTATTCATACCCATCCATTAAGAAATAAGACGCCAATTTCTCAGTATTATGCTGTCCGAGGTACAGGATGTGAACTTTCCCCCGGACAAAAATATCGACAAACCTCTTTCCCAGACCGCAGTTCTGTGCTTTTTACGGTAGAAACTAAGTAAAAACACAATATTTCTGACAAGTAAATAATATAACTTAAAGAGTAATAATGGTCACTTGTAAATACAAGACGGTTGTGAGCTTTACAACTCGGTGCAAAACGGTCCAGCCGGGGATAAGTCCTGGAATCAGGACTCACTTCTCGACGGAGATTAGTCCCGGAGTCGGGACTCACTTATTGCTCTAATAATCTAGTTCTTGATATTATAGTCGATTACTGGGATTGAGGTGTTCTTACTAATTTTACAGCTCAAGGCAATACTTGATATTAGCCCGGATAGGTCAGGCACAACTCTTTAACATCCAATCTGGAAGTTTAGATAAGAATGACGGAGTTACTGCCGTCTTCAAATACCAAGCCTCGCCCAACAGAATACTCGTCAACATTACAATTTCCGGGGTGAGCTTTGTCCTAAGCAGGGAACTAATCAGAGAAAACATAATGGCGGCAAATTCAAACTGCACAGTTATGCGACGAGATCACCACTATTTATAGAGATGACCTCACTTACAAGTGCAATGGTTTCCGGACTGAGCGAAAGATAAATTAACGGGAGAACAGCTCGACAAGAGCACTGCTCGGCATGTTCAGGGTCACAGAGCAACTCCGGCCGGACTTGCACCAAGAGGATACTACTAAAATTATTCGGCATTCCAAAAGCTATAATTACTATTATAATGATCAATATATCTATATTAAACAATTTAAATGCTTAAGACATCGGTTTTACGGCATGATATATAATATTTGTAACAGCAAAAACTCCACGATTTCAAAGGGTTTGACTTTTCTGAGCAAATAGTTTGCAACACACATGATTTAGATCAGATGCTAGATATCCAGACAAAAAGTCCTCTAGCGGTGGTAGAGTTTTTGCTGTTGATACTTAAAGAGAATATAATATTTCTAACCCCATTTTTCGGAAAAGAAAATGGTGATTAGACCACTCTTAATCTCTCTATGTAGGTAACAGTATGAGGGCGTACTCTATCTGAAATTTCCACATTGACAAGTATTCTTAGGAAATTTCAAACCGACACAGTTTGCAGGATGAGAATGCTTTCTCTCTCTCGCTCCTCGCATTCAGATATCCTGATACATATCTAGATACATATCTAGATATGTATCAGCCATAATCACATCTTGTCCGGAACTCGATCAAACTGTGTCAGCTGGTACAAAATAAACAGGATAAACTGCTAAACATGTAGTTTGAGAGAATCTCTACCTATGGAACGTACATCGTGATCAGTTCATGAAACTAGAGCCAGACTCAACCCTCGAACTAAAACGGATCAGCACGCGGATACATTTCCTTGTGTTTGACATGAGATATGTTGTGTAATAGTACTTGACTTTCTTTCGAGGGTTGCGTCGGTGGGCTCGATTTTAGGATAAAATAAGGAAGGTAATTTTGAATTCTAGGTGACAACATGACATCAAGATAGGTAGTAAAAGTGTTAGGGATTGTCATGTTACGGTCTAAAAAGATTGAAAGGATTTCAGAACACCCATTCCCGGAACTTGGTAAAGTTTGCCATTAATTTTAGATTAAATCTAGGTGTGGTCTTTATGTTGATGTGATATCAGGAATTTATGATCAAATGATCGTTTCTTATGCAATGGCTATATTTAGGTATTAGTACTTTAACAAAAATTATGTGAATACATGATTGTACTTAAGAATGCATTAATACGTGATTCTAGTAATGGATGTTCTGAAAGGAAACTTGATGAAAATGCCCCACCTGCACAAGATTGCTTTTAACGGTATCGATTATTTAAAGATCTTAAAGATCTTAAAGAAATCGGTATATCTGAGAAATGTTTACTTTAAAGCGAGTACCCAGCTTGCCAGAAAGATGGTCAAGCTGAAACCTAGCGGTATGCACTTGTTGTGCAGCTTCAAAGAAAATGACATTTCATCAAATCACATCTTAGCCGAAATCATAAACGTTCTTCACCAGGGTCAAATAAAAGATATAAATAGAACTTGACCCGCCTACACTTCACTTTTCCACGGGAAAAACAACCATGTTATTGCTAAGCTTTCCACGGGAAATCCCCTTATAAGTTAAAACTTACGACACAGACACTACCGAGTAATGTCCCTGCTTGAAAGCCCGGTCCCTGCACAGCACCAGCTTGAGGCAAACAGCTGCAATTCTCGAGACCGGGGCTCATATAAAAGAGATTGTGAGCCCCGTGGAGCTCAAGACTTGGTACTCAGTATTGCAAAAGCTGAACTGCGCAGGAAATCGAGGTCAAAACCAGGGATTGACGAGGGATTTGCAAGCACACACGTTTCAGAAAATTCAGAGTTTTGTTCGTGTAGGAAGAAATGTTGCATGTTATTTTGGGAAGGTTCGTTGAAAATCCCTCGTCGATTAGGAACTTTAAAATATAGCTTTAAAGTGACGCTGCGGTGATCGGTGTAGCTAACATTCATTACATTCGAAAATTCAAATCCATATCATACGGTTCAAAATCATCCTTCATAGCGATCAATATAACTTGTTTAGGGATAAATGACTAATAAAAATCTCTGATAAATTTTTACTCTTGACAATGATATAGTTGTTTCAAAAGCATAAGATATGGACTGAATTAGAAAGAGACCTATGCTCTAATCTTCACGCTGAGAAAGAAGTCAGCTTAAAATAAATTGCGGGATCAAAACAGTGTAAATTTTCAAACAAAACGGGCGATCACCGGAAAATAGCAAACAAACTCAAAATACTCGTCTATTCACGATAAGAAAATAATCATCTTTCATCCATGCATAATTTTGTCAAATATATCAATAAGTACACTTATAAATATTTTTAAAGAGTAAAAATGTCGAGGAAATTTAACCTCCTAGATAAAGCGGTTTAAATCATAACATTTTACAATGAATCCATCTTATAAACAAAAGATCCCACAACCATAACTAAAAGTTCATTCTTTTCAAAATAAAAACAATAGTCCGCCAGCTGTGAAAAGACAGCATTGAAACACAGACCATACGAAAGGAATAAATACTGGATAAAACTTACTCTTTCACGCAAGATACGATCTCACCTAAGACCTGAGTCTTGCACGATTTGCTCTCAGCAGGGTTAATACTCTCCCTCAGCAGGATCTTTGTAGAATACTGGGGAGGTAGGCCCGGATGGCTCGTCAGTTATCGGGAACGTGCTGTACCCACCGGCACCGTTCTCTTCGTACCTACAAAACTCGTCTAAAATATCTCGAACTTGCTTCCAACCGCTTCTTGGGATGGTTATATTCTGTCTAAAGTTGTTCTTCGCCTGTAAATGTTATCAAAATTAATGAACAATCGATTGACAACTATTCTGGGCAAGAAAATACATGGGAACGATAATAACAAAACACGTTGCTGAAAAGTCTGTATTACCTCCGTCAGTCTTAAGAATACACCCCGATCATTTCTTCCAACATCAAAGTAAAACTTCTTCTGTTCGACTTTACACTCTCTGGATTGGGGCAAGGAGTTCTGTGCACCTTCTCCATCATCACCACCAAACTCTTCAATCACCTGTACAGTGCCGTGTAAGACGGAGCGATATTTGTAACTTTGGGCTGATTTGATAGCGTTTTTGAGGGGTGTTACGATTAAAATTGTATCCTATACTCGATAGGCAGAATTAGAAGTGCTGGATATTATCGGTAATCTAGAAAGATCATCAACAAAATTGGAACTGGTTAATCAAATTAGTAGATTACAACTGACCTCATTGATAGCGTTCCTCAGTTCAATGAGAAGAATAGCAGGGAAGGCAACATGTTGCCGAGTATATCTGACCACCTGACTAACCCTCAAAAATCTGCCTCGACTGTTCTCCTTCAGATCCAGGAAGTACCTCTTGTCGTCTTTCTTCATAAACTCACTGTCAGTGAGCCGTGTGTTAGTTGCTAGATCGGGTGAGGCGACAAAGTAATCGAAACTTGTGGAGCCAAAACGTGATATTCGTGACATCCTCAGTATTGTAAAACGTGATTTTCTTTGTAAATAACAACTTTACTAATCAGAACAATGAATATCCGTAATGTTGATGTGGTTTATAATGGCCATGACCCGTACGGAGTGGTACGTATGCAGTGTATGAAAGTTTACAATTGTTTAGGCACGTGAATTACTATCATCTATACTGACTCAAGTTGGTAATTTTGAATTTTCTATGTGGTTTAGAAAATACCATATTTTCTGGAAATCTAGAACCATCGAACTCCGTTTAAAACAAATTGCCACCTCACCTTTTCAACTTTCCATCTCGAGTTGTAATAGCCGGGGTTGGGCCTGAAATGAGAATATGTGTGTCAGAACTAATAACAAAGTGGTTGCAACTTGCAGTAACCAGAAAGTACACATTGCAAAGCAGACAACAAACTATACACATTCAGCGTGTAAACTGAAGGGATCCTTCATACAACACTTATTGCTGCGCGCGGCGCTAAAATGACTAAAAACGGTCCGAGAAATCGCATTTTACCATAAAAACATTACCGCGGCCGCCGTACATGCACATGAGATTCGTGGCGCGCACTGGTACAGAAACATGTAAAGTTCTCACCGCAGAGTTGCCTGTGACTATAAGTTGGTGTAAATTTGACCATAAAACTCGATAAAACTATAGAAATTGCAAGTAGTGCTGCACTTGTTTCCACACATTTCGGCAAATTAATGATTATACCACAAAGATACATTTTAGGGCGGGAAGATGGCTGATGGTGGCGTAGGTGTTAAAACACACGTTATCTATAACGGAAATGTCTGAGAGAGAGCGAGAAGTGAGAACTCCCTAAATGTATGGCCCCCATTCTCACCGTCAACACTTACCTATCCTAAAGACTTCTCACTCTCACAAGTTGTCACTTAAAATGACACGCCCATACTTCTACGAGGGCTGCTTTTCTTCGTTACAGCGGTCAGCAGTCAGCAGTCAGCAGTGTCATGAGCATAACTTTGATCACAAATCACATTAATACCTCTTTAAATGGAGAGAAATGTTGCTTTTATTTTATTGCATTCAAAAACGCCTATTAGCCTTGACTTGTCAATCTTGATGCAAGATATGTCGACATAGATCCTGATACAGTTAATACACAGATGAATTTCAGGGGCTTCGACACTCGACATATCCAAACAGTCGGTATAACTCAAAGCGGGGAGGCACATTTCTGCAGGAAGCGAGTCCGGCAACAGCTTGGAACCTAGGCTTGTTAGGCTTGGAAACTAGGAAATACAAATACCGAAATTCTGTAGGATCTACATCTTAGGTCGGCAATATAATTATAATACCACAGAAAATCGATTGGTCGAATAAGACCTAAAATATACGCTAAACGAATCGAAATTATCCCACATCGTACATTGAGCTGGCCACTGTAAATTGTTGTCGAGCGGCTCATAATCGATTGCGATAGGCTAGGCTGCACATCCTCTAAAGTTGGAACAGAATGAAATTACCGTTTGAGCGTTTGGAGATAATTCTAACGCTCTCATAGTGAAAATGAGCTTTTAAACCGTCTTAAAGAAAAAAAAATCGTTCAGTCTACTGCTTTAGTCAGTATAATTGGTATACAATTAACACGATCCATCATCTATAAGATTGACGGACCACATAAAGGAACTCCTCGCAGCAATCCCTTGTTATTTACTGCTTCCAAGTAAAGTTGGCATCAAAATTCTTAATGGTATCAAAAATAAAATGTAATTTTAACATAACCTTTTAGTTTGTAAATCTAGGTCGGTACGTTTTCTATCTGTAAAATGGGTAGTTTTGCACCGTGATACTGCTCATCATTGAATAGATTGGGCGACTCCTGTCCTACTCCGAAGATAGGTTTTTCGGACAATCGCTGTCGGACAGGAGTCGTGTTACCCATTAAATATGGATCTCTAGAAATATAAGCCTTGAATTTATAAGCCAGGTCTGACTAGAGGATCACCAGGGCGATTAATAATACCAATCACAGCTTTTAGATAAACTTGGTGGGTAAACTGCACAGGTTTCCACATTGTGATTCAGGAAATTGCGGTACCATCTGCCTAATACACTGATATTATTATACCACCTGAGGTACAATCTTTATTCTTTATGTTACATAATATTCTCCCCTTTATCTTTATGTTACATAATATTCTTCCCTTTATAATTTTCTAAAATATGTGATGTTTTACAGGGAGACATAATCTTTAATTTTACATATTGTATTATATATTATATAATTTTACATATTGTATATGTATTATATATATATACTGTATTCGCGATACTATTTATTGTTGCTGAGAAGATCCACGTTGAGCGTGATCTACATTTTAATGGCAATATTCAGTATAAACCTGCCCTTACATTCTTGTAATTTTTCAGAAGGTAATCGAGAAAAATCAAAAACCTTCCCTGCATGGCAAACTGTACACGTTATAATTTCAACACCGCAGAAAGTATCATCCTTGTTATTTTTCCAAAACTTCCACTCAATAAACACGAAAACCACTCCACAAAGTCACGAAGAAAGAAAAACAATCTAATCCGGACTTCTTAATCAGAATAATTATAAAACTTCCGGGTAGGAACCACTTGCAGCCACTGGTTAGATTGCCTGGGCTTAATCCCGGAAATCCTGAGGGGGGCTTAACATGCAATAAATAAAGAGCTGATGGGCAGGTAAACAGACCGCTGGACTCCTAATAGGACACTGTTTATAACCTCTACCAGACCTAGACGTCACTTAATTACCCTTATTAGGATAATTATGATGTAGACAAACTAAATTTTTAACTGTTGAAATTGTAAGCAAGGTACGATAGTTTGATAAGAGATCTTTAGAATTGAACGATCGGTGTACAATCAAATTGGAGTAGTGAAGTCGAAAACTTTCATATACATAAATAGATAAAAGTGTTTAAAGCCAGCATATCTAGTATTTACTACTATGACAAATATTAAATTGTCAATTTATTTTAGTTAGTTATTGACCAAGCCCACGTCTCAAAACAGAAACTGTATTATTAGCAGCACTAATATCAGATTCCACTTTTTTAATGCGGCAAGTTTAATGAGCTTCCACTTTTGTTTGTTGAACTAACTTTTGTCTATAGTAACTCATGGTAGGTGATGGTATCTTCCAAATCGCAATCCAAATTCAATATACTAATGAGAAATATGATTTTGAGCAGATTGTACATTATTAGAGAGTAATATGTGGATCTTTTTGACGTTATAAGTAATATAAGTGGAAATTCTTACGAATCATAAATATGTGCCCTTGAATATCACCTACAGGCCAAATTTGGGCAAAATCTTGATACATAACTCAAAGAATGAGAAATTAAGAATGAAGATGCCCACTGAATTAAATACTATGCGCACATGGGACACTTACTTAACTGATTTAATAGTTTATAGAACATAGGTATTTAAATTTGATCAAATAACATATGCTGAGTGTTTTATACAGGGATAATAGTCACATAATATCAGTAGGGGGGGGGGGGGGGGGGGGGCGGGGGTGATGAATTCTACAGATTCAGAAGCTCTGCAAGAAGGAACTAGCGGAGAGTAAGTGAAACTCATAATATATTCAATGTTCAGGTCTCAGGGCACAGGTCACATTACATTTGCTCTCCCAACTGCTGGTAATTGTAGCACCAGAGGTAGAGTTCGGAATAAGGCGGAATAAGGTGACACTGACACGTCACCATTACACATGTGCAGCGCGCACTGCACTTTTCATGTGCAAATCAAAAAATCGGGAAATCAGAAGAGTAATCTTGACCAGAAATGATATTCCGTTGAGTACGCGCGGTGCGCGCGCAAGTTCATTGCTCACCATACTATACCTGTCTTCTAGAACGTTCCATGACCAGATCTCTTATAATGTTGGTGGGACGGAACTTATTTACATTCACATATTATATAAGGTATAACATAATGTAATATATATATATTGAACATAATGTATTATTAGTATATATTTACCATAATATATCATTAATATGATATATTCCACTTAGTCAATGAGACAAAATTTCTCATGATCAAAACGGTAACGCACGCACAAAGACACAAAAGTGGGCACCATATTTCTGGGTCTAGGTGACATTGTCTGGCTGTCATGTGGTGTGTCACGTGCAAAAGTGACCCATTCCCTAGTGCATTGTGTGACCAGTCACGTGACTGAGCCACCATTTGCAATGGTAATTTGTCATGGCCAGGACAGGAAAAGGGAGTCAAAGCTAATGAGCACTAAAACTGACAAGGCAACTGATACCATTTGATGTTAACTTTAATTAATGTGAGTGTGAATTTAATATGAACATAATATATCAACTTTACAGTTGTCAGATAACCGATAAAGTTCACTAGGTTTCAATTATTGACTTGTACATATTATGAGAAAAAAAGGTATGAAAGATAACACGGCTCATCTTCGGTTCATCCATACTGGATAGATGACTTAATTTTTAAATATCATATGATTTTATTTTCTGCACGCTCGTGATACTGAAGTGTTAGGGTTTGGTTTGTGGGTTACATCCCTACAAAAAAAGTTCCAATTTGGGTCCCCTCGAGATGTTTAATTTTAAAAGCGATTTTGTCAAAGCTTTGATCGCGCCGCATGGGCTTGTGGGTAAAAAATATACATTTTTTGCTCGACATTTTGTATATCTTCATATAATTCGCTTTTGGCTGTGGTTTTAGGAATTATTATTCAATATTTTGTTGCAATTTTAAGTTACAGCACATAATTAGGATACAATGTTAAATTCGATGTTACAGCCAATGTTAATTACATCATTAAAAAGCGATGTTTGAGTTTTGGTTTCGGGTTTTGTCACTCATTTTCAGCTAGATGGTGGGCAAGTCCACAATATACCACACCTGTTATATTCTACATTCTACAGGTACATTCCACGAGCCTACCAGTCAAGATAATGTATCTAGGTTGAATGAGTTTTACAGAGAGTAAACCACTTCATCCAAAACACAAGTGGTACTCTCATGTACATTAGGTTTATCTAAACTTTCTGAATCCATATTATGCAGGAGTAATGAGTTAGTGTAATATATAACCAATGTGTCACGTACAGTGTCGAGAATAAAGGAAGGGGTAGGCAGTGATTCACAGTAGGGGTTGAGAGCGCGCGCGACGCTGAGTGAAGCAGGTGACGTGTCAAGTACGCTGCGGCGCGCAATGAGCCAGAGATCAGCAGGACCATCTGAGAAAATTTGCAGTGATAGCCTCTTTTAGGTGGTCTGAGAAATTTTTGAGGAATTCATGTTGCCATAA